GTTGGGATCGATCCGGGTGGATGGCAACGACGTCTTCGCCGTCTACAACGCCACCAAGGAAGCGCGGCGCCGCGCCGTGGCGGAGAACCGGCCCGTCCTCATCGAGGCCATGACGTACCGGTAACGCCGGAGCTGAGGGATTAACACCCTCCCCCCCTCGATAATCCCGTGTTTTTAGGGGTTTTTTCCCGGATTTTTGCCCTGCCAGGATCGGGCACCACAGCACCAGTGACGACAGCTCGGCGTACCGGTCGGTGGATGAGGTGGATTACTGGGATAAACGGGATCATCCCATCTCCCGGCTCCGGCACTACATGCTCAACCGGAACTGGTGGGATGAGGAAGAGGAGAAGAGTTGGCGCAGGAGCTCCCGCAGGATGGTAGCGGGGCTGGGATTAGGGATCTCTGGGATTAGGGGGAAGGGGAATCTCTGGGATTAGGGGGGAAGCGGGAATCCCTGGGATTTTGGGAAAGGGAGAATGCCTGGGATTAGGGGGAAAAGGGAAATCCTTGGGATTAGAGGGAGGGGAAATGCCTGGGATTCTGGGGAAGGGGGAGTCCCTGGGATTAGAGGAAGGGGAAATTCCTGGGATTAGGGGCAAGGGAAATCCTTGGGGAATTAGGGGGGAAGGGGGAATCTTAGGGATTTAGGGGAAATGGGAATTCTTGGGATTAGAGAGAGGGTAAATTCTTGGGATTAGGGAGAACGAGAGAATTCCTGGGATTCTGGTGAAGGGGGAGTCTCTTGGGTTTTGGGGAAGGGGGGAATCCCTGGGATTAGGGAAATTCCTGGAATTAAGGGGGAAGGGGGAATCTTAGGGATTTGGGGTAGGGGAAATCCTTGGGATTAGGGGGAAAGGGAGAATCCCAGGGATTTGGGGGAAGGGGGAATCCCTGGAATTAAAGGAGAAAGGGGAATTCCTGGGATTAGGTGGGAGAGGAAATCCTTGAGATTAGGGGGAAGGGAGAATCCCCGGGATTAGAAAGGAAGAGGGAATCCCTGGGATTAGAGAAAGGGGAAATCCTTGGGATTAGGGGGAAAGGGGGAATCCTTGAGATTCTGGGGAAGGGGGATTCCCTGGGATTAGGGAGGAAGAGGGAATCCTTGGGATTTTTGGGGAAGGAGATTCCAGGGATTAGGGGGGAAGGGGAATCCCTGGGATTCTGGGGAAGAAGGATTCCCTGGGATTAGGGAGGAAAAGGAAATCCTTGGGATTTTTGGGGAAGGGGATTCCAGGGATTAGGGGGGAAGGGGAATCCTTGGGACTTTTGGGGAAGGGGATTCCAGGGATTAGGGGGAAAGGGGAATCCCTGGGACTTTTGGGGAAGGGAATTCTACGGGTTAGGGATGAAGAGAGAATCGCTGGGATTTTTGGCGAAGGGGGAATTCCTGGGAAGGAGATTCTCAGGGATTAAGGGGGAAGGGGAATCCCTGGGATTTTTGGGGCAGGGGATTCCAGGGATTAGGGGGGAAGGGGA